AAATAAATAAAATCTTTAAAAAAAAATAAATAAAAATAAAAATATGTTTTGGGGGCGCCAGGGTGGCTCAGTTGGTTAGGTGTCTGACTCTTGCTTTCTGCTTTCTCATGAGATAGAGCCCTGCATTGGGCTCCACGCTGAGCATGGAGCCTGTTTGGGACTCTCTCCCTCTTCTCTGCTCCTCCCCATCCCCACCCCCCAGCACTCTCTTACACATGCTCACTCTCTCTCTCTCTCTCTCTCAAAAAAAAAAAAATGTTTTGGAGTTCTTTCATATCCATATGAAACTATCCCTATCTTTTTAAATGTTGCACCATATTGCAAAGTGTTACATACCATGGCTTATATAATCAATCGTTCCTTCTTTCATGTACATTTAGGTTACTTTTTGATTTCTCATTATGGTGAGGTGTATCTTTATATATGATTCTTTGTATTTATAAATGATTATTTCTTTAGATTAAATTCCCAGGAAAAATTGCTGAGTCAAAAGGTACACACATTTAAAAGTTTGGTAGATACGGGTACTCTCCAAACCTAAGCTGTATCAGTTTATGCTCCACCATAATGTTTGAGAGTACCATTTCCTACTATTGCCAAGAACAGATAGTTTCAATCTTGTAAATATTTGCTTCTAACATGGACAAAAAAAAGTTATTCATTACAGTTTGTGTAATTATAAATAAGTGAATATCAATAATAAGAGAATGCTAGAAAACTAAAGGGAAATATATCCTTTGCTTTCAGGTCAGTGCTGACTGTTGCTTGTGAACAGACTGAAGTTCTGCTTTTTGATCCTATATCTTCAAAGCACATAAAAACACTTTCTGAAGCTCATGAAGATTGTGTAAATAATATCAGGTTAGTATTTTAGTGAAATAGTGAAGTTTATTAGTGTGACACAAAATATTCTCATTTGGAAGTTAATGAAAATTTGTAATGTCTTGCCCAGCAGTGCTAGATACGTATTTGTGATTTGTGAATTTTATCCCTTATGAAACTTATTCCTTTAATTACAAAACTTGGTATTAACCATTTTGGATTAGAATCTTTCTGAAATGTATTTTTTACTTCCATATGATTTTACCTTTTCTCTTCATATATCAGGGTCATCATTATGAACCTCAGCCATGTATTATGATAGTCCTGCAATGTCTTTGGGCTAATGATCTGTGTAGAATTATGGCAGTCCCATTGCTAAGCCTCTCTTACCCCTGTCCCCCAAATCCAAACTGTTGAGGGGAAAAAACACATATGCACAGAGAACTTCTTTCTAAAAGCATGTTGGAAGCACCTTAAATTCTCAATAATGTGGGAAGTAAATAACAGTTGAAAGCTTGGTGGATTAATATGCAGTCATTAAAATGATGGTCACAGGGACTACATATCAACACTGACAAATGCTTGGGGCAATATATGTTAAAATCATGATAAAAATTGTTACAAATATGACATGATGCAGAAGATAAGGAAATATTTTTCAATGCTAACATGGGGTGGGTTAGAATGAATGGATGATGAGTAATTTTCTGTTTTTTAAACATTATGTAATAAGATTATATTCATTTTATACTGAATCCTTTAAATGTTCAAAAACAAGAAATAGGGAAATTACTTCTAGTTACGGTGACATACTGAATTTTGGTGTAACCTCTATGCTCCAAACACATAGAACGACAGATTAAATAGCACAAAAGATACAGCCATGCTTTGAAACAACATAAACATTTTTGTGAGCCATAAATGGAACACAGACACAAGCTGTTATAGGGCTAAAACCACAAACCCACTGGGCTTTGAGTCTGGTACTGATGTGTAGTGGTTTTAGTTCCTGTCAAGAATCAAAAGTACTAAAGTGCTTCATATGAGGCAGGAACCAGAGCCAAAAGTACTACACAATGCATTGGCTAGAATGCCTGTCCCATTTGTGAAAGGCTGAAAAAAAGGGAAAAGCTATTCACTACCTGAGGCCATGGATTTTGGCTGATTAAGACACAACCTCATGGCCAGGAATTCAGTGAAGCCATTACTGAGTCAGTGATTGAATATTTATGTGTGATAGCTCCAATCTCATCATGAAACTGAAGGCCTTAATGTCATTATAAGGCCTAATTGTGGATTAGGGGTTCAGAAATCCAAGTGAGGGCAATTATAAAACCATTAAATAGGAAAGAGAGGAAAAAATAATTAAAAACCTTTCTTACTTAAAATAAGCCTATAACCAAAATTCTAAGACTCATGAAGACATCTAATATTAATATCATAACAAATTCAGCAACTAAAACAGCATATTTTCTGGATGAAATTAATTTTATGGAGTAGTCCAACAAAGACTTTATTTTTAAAAATAAATTATTTATTTTTTTTTGACTAGGTAATACATGCACGTGGTACAAAATTCAAAGGTACAAAAGGGTAAACAGTGAAAAGTAAGTCTGTCTCCCACCTCTGTCCCCTAGCCACCCAGTTCCCCTCCCCAGAGGCAACCACTATACCAATTTCTTGCTATCCTTTTTGAGATAGTCTATGCATGTACAAGCATATACACACACACATACATACACTTTTATATAAATGGTAGCATTCTACACACACAATTATATACCTTGGCTTTTCCATTTAATAACATATTTAGAGATCATTCCATATTAGTACCTATGGATGATCTTACTCTTTTTAACGGCTGCATAGTATTCCATTGATTGGAAGAAACTTTAAAGCATTTTTAGGATGCTCAAAGAAATAAGTTAATTGATACTTTCCATTTAAAGAGAACTCAAAATTATGAAACAGAAGAAATGCAACAAGAGCAGGTTAACATGGAAAAGAACCAACTACAACTCTTAGAAATTAAAAATGTACTTAGTATATAAAAAACTTAAAAGATGGGATAAATTTTATCCTTTACACCGCTGATGAGAGAATTAATGGGTTCGAAAATACTAAGAGTACTTAAAAGACATAGGGGATTAATTGAGAGTGTCCAGTATATATATAATAAGAATTACAGAAAAAGAAGATGCAGAGATTGGTGGAGAACTAATTTTTGAAGACACAAAGGCAGAGAATTTTTAGCATTAAAGAAGGTCCTGAATCCTCGAATCAAAAGTAGACCCTAGAGTGTCAGGTAGGTTAAATAAAGATAAATATACATTTAGACAGATTGTAGTAAAACTTTAGAATATCAAAGGAAAAGAGAAAATCTTAAAAGCCACCAAAGTTAGAAGGCAGATTACCTACAGAGGTATAATTCAACATTATAACAGAAGGTTTCTCATCAGCAACAGTTGATGCTAGGAGATTATGAAGTAGTAGCTTAAATACTAAGGGAAAATAATGCCCAGTGCCATATCATATCCAGGTAAACTGTTACTACATAATGAAGAATTTAATTAGGTGAAATGATAAATGTTATTAATTATTAATAGCAGAAAGATAATTAGGTTTTTGGGGGGAGTACATTTAAAACAGTTAAAACTAAAGTCTAGGTTTATTTTCTGGTAGTAACATTAAAAAGGAAAAAATATGAAATTAATTTTTAGTAATGTTTTATTTACCCCAATAGGACTAAAATATCATTTCAACATGTAATCATTAAAAAATTTATTGAGATATTTTAGTTTCATTTTTTAATGTTAAATTTTCAAAATCCAGTGTTTTAACACTTAGAGCACAACCCAGTTCAGACTGGCCACATATCAAGGATTGAAAAGCCACATGTAGCTAATGGCTACCAAACTGGACAGTGTAGCTTTAAATAGTAACAACAAATAGGTTGTGTGTAATATGGTAAGGTTCGTGTCATGTTCAGGAAGAAGGTAGAAATATTAAGTAATTTCAGACTCTTTCAGAACAATATATAATTAAATATATACAATGAAAAAAATACTAAAAGATAACTAAAATAGTAGACATACAAAGTATAGCTAGCTGCCAAAACAGAAGTGGGAGAGGGAATATTGAAAACATGATCAGTTCAGTGGAAGATGGGAAAGCTTAAAAAAGTAAAAAAATAAATAAAACAAAGGAAAGGGATGATAAGTAGAAAACAAGAAGTAGAAATAGACCCAGTATATGAGTAGTTCACAGTAAGTATAAATGAATTGATCTTTATTAAAAGACATGGAGACAGCAATTTGAATAAAAACCACAATCATCTGTATATTCATTATAGAGATACCAAAACTAAAACTGCCCAAAAATGGGAAAAGAAAACTAATGTAGATTATCATTATTGGACAGATGGAAGACTAAAGGCTTTAATAAGGATAAAGTGAAACAGTACATATTAATAAAAGGAAAAATCAACTAAGAACATAAAATAATGATGAACTTTTGTATTTAACTTGAAATTTGTATATTTAAAATTAACCCAAAAAACCCAAAAACAATACAGATAAGGAATTACAAGTCTATAATCATAGTTAGAGATTTTAATACACTTCCATCCCAAACTCGTAAATCAAGTAGATAAAAATTAAGCTATAGAATATTTTAAAATATCTTAGACAACCTTTCTACTAAAAATAGAAATGCAGGATAAGATTTTTTAAATATATTTTTTAAATGTATAGTTGATCTGATAAGAAAGAAAGGAATCCTAGGGCCAAAAATGAAGTAGATGATAGAATGCAAAGAAGTAAACAGTTATTCAGCTGGCTTTTACCCTGGAGGCATCTGCCAAATGCGGGTGACCTTGAGCTTCTGTTTCAATATGTATAAGGAGTTACAGTGGACAGGAGAGTTAATTCTATGGCCAGTTGAAGATGAGAAGTCTAGTAGAAAACTGCATAAGGCTGGGACTCCAAAGAGCTATACTTACAGCATAAAGGTGATCTAGAAACATACCACCTTGTTCATGTAGACTATGACATTGGTAGAGGGTTGTCAGAAAATCTCCTCAGTGAATGTCTGACCACAAGTCAGTCTTCATGCATGTGTGGGGCCGAAATTCACACTACTATATGGTCCAAAACCATCTAGCCAGCAATTTTAAATTGGATGCAGGTTGATAGTACTGCCAGGTACCTGCAAAAACAAATGCAAATCTTCTCTGGGGAAGAAAACTCAGTATCATAAAGAAGTCAGTTCTTTCCAGATTAGTCTCTAAATTTAGTGCAGTTTTAATCAAAATACCAACAGGGTTTTTTGTTTTTTTTTTAACTTAAAAATTCATATTGAATAGTCAAGTGCCAAGAATATCAATCTTGAAGGAGACTAAGATGGTAGTCTTCCAGATATCAAATGCAGTCTTAGGACAGGGATAGATTAAGTGCCTAATGAAATGGAGTAGAACTTCCAGAAACAGACCCATGCATATATGGAAATCTAATAGATGACTGCAGGGGCATTACAAATCAGTGGCAGGGAAAATGGAAAAGAGAGAATTGGTTATATACAGGAAATAACTGCGAGTTAAAGGCCTAATTATGAAGGCAAACCATTAAAACTTTAGGAGAAATACAGAATATATTTATGTTCTAAGGATGAGAAAGGTTTTTTTTTTTTTAAGATTTTATTTATTTATTTGACAGAGAGAGACACAACGAGAGAGGGAACACAAGCAGGGGGAATGGGAGAGGGAGAAGCAGGCTTCCCGCCAAGCAGAGAGGCCAATGTGGGGCTCGATCCCAGGACCCTGGGATTGTGACCTGAGCTGAAGGCAGACACTTAACGACTGAGCCACCCAGGCACCCCGAGAAAGGATTTTTTAAGATACAAAAAACACAGATCATTAAAGGATTGCTAACTTCAACTGCATTAAAATGGAAAACTTCCTTCTAACCAAAGACATAACAGTGTGAGAAGATAAGCTATAGGTGGGTGGGAGAAGATATTTTCAATGCACATAGCCAAAGAAG